GACTGTGGGCGTGGAAATAAGGATAAGTTTTAGGGGAAAATATTAGGGAAAGATATAGGCCCATGTAGATATGTGTGGTGCGGCATGTTATGTTGTGTTGAGTGTGTGTTTTGTGTGTTTTGTGCTGCGTTGTGTGTTGAGGTGTGGTGTTGTGTATGTGTGTTGTTTTGTGTTGTGTGCGCGTGTATGTTATGTTCTGTGCGTGCATGCATGCGCGCGCGCGTGTGTTTATGTATACGTATATGTGTGATTTTGTACGCTCATACATTTTTTTGAGTCTACGCGGATACTATGGAACCCATTTTCTGTATTATTTTTCCGTTTTCTTTTTCTCTTCGTTTTCGTTTTTCATCCTGATGGAAAGGAAAGTAATCGCTCTCGGACATTGATGTTTTGACAGGTCCCTAATGAACGCCGTGCTAATTACACAAAGCAACTGTGATTTTTTTTTGAGGGGGGGGGGGTGCGCGGGGAGAGGGGAGGGGAGAAGGCTTGTTATTTCAATCAGATTTAATGGTCGATGAAATATTAACATTATCAATCTTATTCTCTAGAGAGCAGGTACAAAATGTTTATTCAACTGTAATTACGTTAGTCAGTATCATCCGTACAGAAATCTCACATATAATGGCACAATATATGTACATGCATACATGCATACATACATACACATATACACACACATACATACAAGCTTAAACACGATACACGATACAGCGGGTAGATAGACAGACAATAGACAGACAGAAACATACATACTCTCCCTCTCTTTTCTTTCCCTCCCACTCACTCACTGACTGACCATCTTCCTCTCCCTTACTTACTCGCTCACTCTCACTCTCTCCTCTCATTATCTCCCTATCTCCTCTCCTTCTCTCCCTCTCTCCTTTTCTTCTCTCCCTCTTTCCCTCTCTCCTTCTCTCCCTCTCTCCGCTCCTTCCCTCCCTCTCTCCTCTCCCTCTTTCCCTCTCTCCTATCCTTCTCTCCCTCTTTCATCTTATCTTCCTCTTTCCTTCTCTCCCTCTCTCCTCTCCCTCTTTCCTTTTCTTTCACTCACTCCCTCACCCAACATAAACCCAGGAAAAATAACTCTTGAAATCCAACCCCCAAAAATACTGAAGAATAGCAATAAAAACAATATACAAAACCTATCAAAAGAAAAACAATGACAACAAACAAAACCACAAAAACAGCAACCCCCTCCCCCAAAAGAAAAAAGAAAGAAAGAAAGAAAGAAAACAGCAAACACGAGCCACCACTCACCATCTTCTTCGGTCGAACAGAAAACGGGATCGCTCGCAGGTCCATCCCCAACTCTAGTAAACGCGACGACCTGCAGAGAGTAGTTCGTGTGGGGTCGCAAACCTCGCAAAGCCACGCTCACGGAATTGGTCGTTTCTCCGCTCAGTTCGCTCGCTGAGGGAACGATGAGGGAATGGAATTAGCTGGAGTAATGTTATATTAGTTCACTTGCTTTATTTGTTTTTATTAAACTGGATTGGCGATAGTGATGTTTCTGTTAGTTTTGTTGTTGTTATCATTTTAGTTTTGTATTTTGCTTTAGTTATTATTGTTTTTGTTAGTATTAGTAGTATTAGTGGTAGTAGTAATAGCAATAGTAGTATCAGTGCTAGTAGTAGTAGAATTATTAATAGTAGGGATAGTAAGAGCAGGAGTAGAACTAGTAGTAGTAATATGATTATCATTGTTTTGGATATTATTAGTAGTGACATTGGTCATAGGGTTATTACTATCATCAATGCTATTATTTGTATCATTAATGCTACCATCGATATTGTTATCATTAACTATATTGCCAATAGTATTATGATTGATATTACCACCACCATTATTATCTTCCTAACTGTAATTATAATCAAAATCATCGTTATTAGCACCACTGAAGTTACAAATATCATTACTACAATCATTAATCAAATTGTTATAATTCTGTCTGTATTATATGCCTCTGTCACCCCTCCCACTCCGCCCCACACACTTTTTTTCTTTTTTATCATCATCATCGCCATCCTCTTTTCCTTCTTCTTCCTCTCTTCCTCCTCCTTAATGGGTAGCACCACATTGACAAAATAGTTTACACAATAGTCAACTCTGTCCGTAAGCAAACAGCACGGCATAAATTAAAGGATCCTCACTTCTCTCCGCGGGGGCGTAGAGGACACGGTAGCCCAATAATTCTCACGGGCGAGGGCGGGGGCGAGTGGATCCATGACACTAGGACGCTGTGGCGTCATGGGCGCGCATCGGAGAGCAGTAGGGGCGGCGGAGGGCACTGGTGGAGAATAGGGGTCTCGTTATTTTGGGTAAATACACCTGGAGAAGTGTATAATACGGGTTATTTTTTTTCTATAGTGACTGTACAAGATAGTAAGTTTATAATTAAGATTCAATTTTGAGTAAAGAAACATACACAGACATTCACTTACACACACACTCACACACACACTCACACACATACACACACACGTACACACATTCA